CCAATTTACTATTTAAGTGTGCTCAGCATCCTCACTAGCATTGCTAACAAGTTGGAAGCCATCTTATGATTTGGTCCATGTTGATAATGCAAATTATCATCTCCGTCCCTGATTGTGACTGAATGATATTACGTGATATGATAATGAGTCTACGTGCATATGTGATTGGTTGTTTTGGTGAATAATGAAAATATATTATGTGAATATCTACATGAGATAAGATATTCTATGTGCTTAAGAAAAGATGTTATATGTGTGAATATGTGTGATACGTGTTTTAGGAATGGTATTTTATGTGTGGATATATATACTTAATATGAATATGATAACAATTAGAAACTCCACCTTGTAAGTTGGAAGGAAATCAAAAAACCTCTCAAGGATGGAGGTTTAGGTTTGAGATCCATCACTGCGCTTAATAAAGCACTAGTTGACAAGTGGATTTGGAGATTTTGGAATGAAAACAACAACATATGGAGATCAATTATATTGTGTAAATGGTTTAATTATGAAAGTGGTGACATGTTTAAGATCAAGAATGATACTTATGGGGCTAACCTCTGGAAAACTATTTGGCAGCTTGACACTCTCGTCCTTTAGAACTCCAGATAGTGCATTGGCAATGGTCATAAAATCTGCTTTTGGTCTGACATATGGCTTGAAACGGATAGCTTCTCTTCCTGATTTCCTCTCATCCACGCAATTTCTAATGACAAAAATATGCTAGTCAAAGATGCTATTGATCTTAACTTTCCCAATTAGTGGAATATCATTGTTAACAGGAACCTTCAAGACTAGGAGATTGAGGAATTTGAAAGCCTCTTGCAGACTCTGTCAAGCATTTAACTTTCTGATCAGGAAGATAAACTGAGTTGGGAAATCATCAAGAACACTCATCTTACTGTCAAATCTTTTTACAGCTTACTGGCCAGAAACTCAAACTTTAGTGGAAGTTTGTTCCCTTCTAAAATTATCTAGAAAGCAGGGTCCACTCCCAAAATTTCTTTTTTTGTTTGGGAAGCTACAAAAGGCCTTATACTCACACTGGACAATTTTATGAAGAGAGGTGTCTCTATTGTTAACGAATGTCTCCTATATAAGAATAGTCTTGAATCTTGCAATCATCTTCTCCTCGGGCGTTCTATGGTTCACAGGCTATGGTCTGTTGCTCTAGGCCTTTTGGGTTTGTCTTGGGCCAGGAATGAGTCTATTTCCTCTGAACTTCTTGTGTGGAAAGGTGTCAAAAGCCTTCAACATTGCTGTATGATCTTGAGAAAGAAAGAAAGAGAGAAGAGAGAAATAGAACAGAAACAGTGAGAGAAATCTAAGAAATAATTTTTTCATTGATTGATTATAATATAAAGATTGAACCTTTTATAGGTTATAAACAATTAAAGCGGTCACTATCATGGACGGAATCAATGCAGCGGCGGTTGCTGTGAAGTAAATTCAAAAAATTAACTTTAACCTTAATCCTAATTGATACTTGTAAAAGATTAATTTATTCTTTTTATTATTTCTCTCTTTCTTAAACCCTTAATGTCCTGACAATACCATCTTTTTCAGTGTCAATCTTGTCCTCAAGTTAAATTATAGTTTATTATTATTATTATATTTTATATAGATATATATATATATATTTAAAGTAGTTTTTTTTTTTTCTTTTTCATATATATATATTTTAAAACATTATATATATATATGTAAATTATTATATATATATTTTTTTTCCGAAGTAGTTTTCTACTGCTTTTACCCTGTAAAATCAATTTTTTTTTTTATTATCATATATAGATGTATATATATTTTTTTAAAGTAGCTTTCTACTGCTTTTGATTTTCACAAATTGGCCCTTTCACACCACCGACGTAACCGTTGCCAGACGTTGTTATCGTACTGCTGCAGTAATGTCTTCTTCTTCCACCTCTTCTTCTTCCGCTTCTCTCTTTCTTTTGCTTCTCCTTTTCCATATCAGAACCCATTTGGAGAACGAGAGACTTGCAGGTTCCCATCTTGATCTCGCACGGATTAAAGCGGAAACCGAGCAGAGCTTCTAGGAGGTAGCTCTTTTCGGCTGGTTGGCCGAGGTGAATGAGGGAGAGACCTCTAGGGTGTTCATTCCCGACTGTTATTGCTTAAGAAAGAAAGAGAAGGAGAGCAAGTGAACCGGTTCGGTTCAAAATTTTGGCTGGACCGGTTCGAATCGGATAAGTTAGCGAACTTCATTCGGTATATGTTGTTCGGTCCGATTCAATAACTGAACCGGTTTGTCGGCTGGCTATAAGGTGCGGGCCCTTGAGCCGTCGGCCTTGTATCTTCCAGGAATGCCTCCGCCAGGCATGCTAAGCTTTCTTCAGTCTGGTCGGCGGATCTACCATGGAGCAGATCCAGGAGCATGCTTAACTGCCGCTGCGATTTTTCCATGACTGCGTTAGTTTTAGGTCGATTTCCTTCGTGGTGATCGCTTCCGAAATCTCTGGCTCTGATACCACCTTGTTAGAAACCTTTGACATGACTGTTTGATCTTGAGAAAGAAAGAGAAAGAGGAGAGAAATAAAAGAGAAATAGAAAGGGAAATCTGAGAAATAATTTTATTTTTTTTCTTGATTGATTATAACATAAAGATTGAGCCTTTTATAAGTTATAAGCAACTAAAGTAGCCGTTATCATGGCCGAAATCAATGCAATGGTGGTTGCTGTGAAGTAAATTCAAAACATTAACTTTAACGTTAACCCTAATTGATACTTGTAAAAAGCTAATTTGCAAGTTTTATTATTTCTCTTTTATTTACCCTTAATGTTATGACAGAAGGTTTCTCCAGAAAAAAAAAAAAAAAAGATTTCAAACTCATATCTCTTACACTTTTTGGAACATTTGGAATGAGAGAAACAACCAGGTTTTTTAAGGAAAAGAAGTATACTTTAGCATAATTATAGATACTTGGTTCCACTATTTTGGCTTTATTTTCTTGGGGTACAATATTGACTATTTTGAAGATTTTGGTTTCATTGTTGATATGCTAACTAACATGTAAATTTTTTGTATACGGGCACTGCCTCTCTGGCACCATTACTTTAATACAAATCTTACACTTTTATTTTAAAAAAAAAGAATAAATTATCCTGCTCAATAAAAATTAAAACAAAAGGTATAAAGTAAAAATTAAATAATAAAAAGTACAAAACAATATGTACAAAAACTGTCTCCTTTAATCTTTGTGTATGATGACTTCCTAGTTGTGCTATAACTATAAGATGCTTGTGTTCGTGAACTGCTCATGAGCTTTCGCCCGAAGAGAGGGCATGAAGATGACTCTCTCGCAGAGCTCATGGAATGTCATTGCACAGTCAAGAAAATCTGTCGATTCCTTGCTAACCATATACCCCAAAGGCCTGCAAACGTAGCACCTCGCCATAGTACTTGGCTTCTTTTCTTACTCCAACCCCTTGAATATATGAGTTCATAAACATTTCAACTGTAGGAGGCGCCACCCAGCTGAAGCCAAACTTATCCATCAAATTCATCCACAATTTCCATGCTGTGGTACAATGTAAAAACAAGGGGGAATTAGTCTCACCATTCTGAAGCAGAAAACGTATATGCCAGGGGACAAATAACAGTGAGTTTGTCGGAATTGAAGCGAATCACTAATGTCGGATTTTAGTTGATACGGTCCATGAAAATACTTCAATCTTCAAAAGAACTGTAGCTTTCCCAAATACAATGGAAATATGAAATTGTTTATCCGTTGGTTTAGAAATAAAGTGCGTGAAGTATGACTTACATGAGAACAAATCAGAAGGTTTAAGAGTCCACAATTATCAATCTAGTTGGGGAAGTAATTGCGATTGAAGTGGAAGTTCCAAGACAATTTTCCTTAGAACTCTCTGTAAAGCTAGAGATATAGGTAGTATGTCTAGTAGATAACAGGTAAAGCTGAGGGAATTTTGTGGCGAGCGGTTGGTTTCCCAACCACGTGTCCTCCCAAAATAAGATTCTAGATCCATTTCCCATGTGTAATAGGGTGAGTGTGTTAAAGAGAGGGTGGACTTGGGAAATGGATTTCTAAGGACCATGATAACTAGTGGATCCTCTAACAAGAACATCCCAACCACTCCTCTCTCCTTCGTGGATACTATTTATCACCATGTGCCATGGAGAGTTTGGTTCATGAGGAAAACATGATAGCCATTTCGTAAATAGAGATTAGTAATTTGGTATGAGATTTCAAATTCCTAAATCTCCTTAATTTTTAGGTACCTTCCATCGAACTAAATGGTCTCTACTTTCGTCACCCGCTCCTGACCATGGGAATCTTTTCATTATGTCCTCAATCCTCCTAGCTACCTCTGCAAGAATCCTAAATAGAGATAGATAGTAAAGTGATATATTGGACAAGTGTTAAACAAGGTCACCCTTGCCCCAAGGGAGAATATACCACCCTCCCAACTCTCTAGATGTCTAGCCACCTTGGATTGCTACCTAGTGGAACTCCGAGATATGTAATGGGCCATGTTAACTTCTTACAACCTATTGTCTCTACTAAATGGTTAATCGATTCATCTCCCATATTATTCACTATGAATCCAGTTTTTTCCCAAATTGATTTTTAGTCCAGAAATGTGTTCAAACACGTAGAGGATGACAAGAGCATTAGACATGGAACTATTGTCATTTTCTAAGAACAAAATCGTGTCATCCACAAAATGTAGATCATATACCTGCACATTCAGTGTACCCGCTTTTAAACCCTTTATTGATCTCCTCTTTCTCGCCCTTGCCAATATCCTACTCAGTATGTCCACTATGAGGGTGAAGAGGAGAGATGAAAGTGAGTCGCACTGTTTAAGTCCTCTTGAGGCTCTAAAACAATCTCGTGGTTCCCATTGACTATCACTACTAGGGAGCATAAGGACAGACAAACACTAATCCATTTTTTCAATTGCTGATCAAATCCCTTTCTTTCCATCACCTAGTCTAAAAACCTTCAATTGACCATGTCATGAGCTTTCTCAAAGTGTAGTAAAACCAAACCTTTTCTTTCTGCTGCATGTGTATACTTTGCCGCTTCGTTAGCTACTAAAGATGTATCAAGGATTTGCCTACCTCTCAAAAGGCCCTCTAGATTAGTGAGATAGTGTTATCTCAAATTTCACATAGTTCAATGAAAGACACTTTTGTGATAATCTTATAGGTAGTACTCCCTAAATTGATTGGATAGTAGTTTGAAGCATTTATAGATTTTTCTTTTGCTGGAACTAGGATGATGAAGGTAGAGTCTGTGCTTCTACATATGAGATCATTCAAATAGAACTCCTCAAACACTTTGATTAAGACTATTTTCACAATGTCCCAACACGCCTTAAAGAACTCAATTGTAAATCTATCCTGGCCAAGAGCTTTATTATTCCCTAGGACTCAAATAGCTTTTCTAATTTCCTTCAGCTCTAAGGGTCTCTCAGTCCACACTCCTTTTTCTATCCTAGTGGGGACCAATCAATGCCTGAAAGGAATGGTCCCGAGCTTTTCTTTAGAGTACAAACTCTTAGTAAAGAGTAATCTCGGTTTTACTGCCCATGAAAGTTTACTGTGGCAACAAGGTTGCCATTTCGATTGCTCATAAGCCGATTATGGAGGACATAATTAAACACATCAAAATTGATAGACACTTCATCAAAGAAAAACATGAGAATGGTCTAATATGTGTTCTTTATGTACCAACTACTCATGGTGGACGTACTTATCGAAAGGACTACAGAAGAGACAACTTAATTTCCTAGTAAGTAAGCTAGCAATGTAAGATATCTACCTGCTAGCTTGAAAGGGAGTGTTGGAAAGGAGAATATTTGATATTAATTACACCATTTGAAAGAAGAGTATTTGATATTAACTACACCAAATACTAGGATTGGTAGAGTTTTAAACATAGGAGATTGAGTCAAAGCTTTAACCAAGGGAATTAGTTAGGGTAATTATTTTTTGACTGCTAATACTTTCCTAGTTTAGCTCTCTTGTATTCCTATTTAAAAATGTAACATGTACAACCTAATTAGATACGACAATACAATATTTTTCTTCCATATTCAGTTACAGTACCTTTTTGGCCTCCCTATGGGCGAAGTCACATATACTGTATTCTAATATCTCACTTACTAACTTCCCCTGGAATGAGGAAGCAATAACCATGTGATTGCTCAATGTTTTTTTGAAAGCCTGATATTCTTTATTATATTTTCATTTTTACTAGCAACTCAATCAGGAGGATATCTTATCTTCTATGCTTTGAAACATTTTTCTTTCAAAATTAATAATATCTATTTTCCTATAAGAAAGTTGTAATTTTGCTTGCTTACATAGATGGGTGCCATCTTTGCCTAGAACACACTACATTTTGTATTAAAAACTCTAAAAAAACTACTAGATATGGTCTTTATTAAACTCTAATTTACTCTTCCACTCTAAAAAATAATCTAAAAAAATAATCTTCAAACCATACAGAAATTCAACATCCCTGAGGGTGTGATTACAAAGATTTGACTTCTAACATCGTATGTCTGTAAGGAAAGTGCGTAATGCAGAACGAATAGACGTTAAATTTGAATACTTTTTAGTATTCGGGAATACTTTTGTATTAAAAACTCTAAAAAAACTACTAAACATGGTCTTTATTAAACTCTAATTCACTCTTCCGCTATAAAAAATAATCTAAAAAAATAATCTTCAAACCATACAGAAATTCAACATCCCTGAGGGTGTGATTACAAGGATTTGACTTCTAACATCGTATGTCTGTAAGGAAAGTGCAAGTAATGCAGAATGAAAAGAAGTTAAATTTGAATACCTTTTAGTATTAGGGAATACTTTTGTTTTATCCATAAAAAAAATTTAGGGAATACTTTTGTAATTATTATTATTATTTATTTATTAATTTGTTAAGACTGTTCAGGTATATTTAGTAGGTTTTGTGTTTATATAATTAGGATTTTGAAAGTTTTGATATTATCTTATTGTAGTTTCCTAATTTTGTTGTTATTAGTATGTCATAATGGTATGAATCTCGAGAATATGTTAGGTTTTGGTGAACTGAACACTTCTCTGATGTAGTATTTCAAATATATATTTTTAATCTATCATTTAATTTTGCCTTTGACGATGGTAATTCCTCTATTGATCTCCCATTTCCTTTTTTTCACATCAGTTTCTCTCCTTTTTACTGTTTACATGTCCTACTTCAGGAAGTGATGATTTAGTCTGAGTGAAAAGTGCTTGAAAAGTAAATATGGTTGAGTTCATTCATACCTTAATGCCATCAGCAGGATATCTGAGTTTGACATGGATTTCAGTTTTGAACTTTTCTTGCAATAATATAGTAAATATGTGGTGGGGAAAATGATTATTTTGTTTGCTTTTTTATGTTAAAGATATAACACATACTGTGGCCCTTCATTTCTATTTTCATTCTGATTTGCAATGTTCTATAGATTAGACATGGTGAAGCTGTTGGAGTTATTGGACCTTCTGGAACTGGGAAATCTACAATTCTGAAGATTATGGCTGGGCTTCTTGCTCCGGATAAGGTTGCTTGAGGTTTCTCTTTTGCTTAGTCTAAGTTTTATATAATGTTTTAATCTTTTGATCTTTCTCATTGATCATCTTAATTTCATTTATGCATTCGCTTATTGCTTGTTTTTCTTATTGGAATGTGTAACAAAACAGGGGGACGTTTACATTCGAGGTCGAAAGAGAGTTGGTTTGATCAGTGATGATGAGATTTCTGGTCTTCGAATTGGATTGGTAGATGTTGTCTCTCAGTTCTATATTTGTCTTGGCATTCTCTGGAAATTTTTCTCACAAGTATGTGTATCTCTTTACAGGTCTTTCAGAGTGCTGCACTTTTTGATTCTTTGACTGTTCGTGAAAATGTTGGTTTTCTTTTGTAAGATACTCTAGATTATCTTTAGAAAGTTTACACTTGTATTATTTATTTCATTTAATTAGTTGATAATAGAAACAAGTTGAACTCGTTTATGTTTGTTAAATAGATATGAAAACTCAAAAATGTCGGATGAGCAAATCTCAGAGCTTGTAGCAGAAACATTGGCTGCTGTTGGTTTAAAGGTACACCTGCAATGCTAATTTCTCAGTTTGGATGAAATCATCAGTTTTTTTTTTTCTTTTCTCCACTTTGCTCCACTGGCTTCATTTTGACTTGCATATGATTTTATAGTACTTTAGTTTTTCTCTATACTTATTCTAAATTCCTTGTCAAATAAATTCTTTTGAATTTTTGCTCATAATAGAGTTCCTGCTGAAGGTTAGCTAATCTAGCTTATTATTCTATCCAGCAAGTTCTGCAGTTCCCATTAATTTACTTGTTTACTAAATTTTCAGCTAGAGCTTAATGAATATAGTTCTGCTGTATTCAGGGTGTTGAGAATCGGTTACCTTCTGAATTATCTGGTGGAATGAAGAAAAGGGTTGCTTTAGCTCGTTCAATAATTTTTGATACCACAAAGGAAGCTATTGAGCCAGAGGTAAGCCAAGCTGCTTTTTAGATCTATATTTTCATCTTCCTCATTTCTTTTTTACCAGAGAAACTTCGAGTTTGTATAATAATTATATGAGACTTATGTTTTTAACCTGGTTATTTTCATTTGTGATATAGAATACTTATTTAGTGTTGTAAGACTAGCACTTTGAATGTGTTACTTTTTCTTATCATTTAATTACTACTTGCAACACTTGAAAAGAAAACTATAGATGAAGCCACATGACTGTGGGAAAAAAAATGCTATATGATGTGGCTTATGCTGTTTCCTAACTTGATCTTTTCACTGATGCCTTTTTTGACCTCTGTTAGGTGCTTCTATATGATGAACCAACTGCTGGACTTGATCCAATTGCATCCACTGTTGTTGAAGATCTTATCCGTTCTGTCCATGTGAAGGGGGAGGATGCGCTTGGAAAACCTGGAAAAATTGCTTCTTATGTAGTTGTTACTCATCAGCATAGTACCATTAGGAGAGCTGTGGACAGGTGATGCTTCCCCAAGATTGTCTTGTATTGTAATGGATATGCTGGGGGAGATGCCATAATTGAATAAATTTCTTATCTGTATATAGGTTATTATTTCTACATGAAGGAAAAGTTGTCTGGCAGGGAATGACTCATGAATTCACATCATCTACCAATCCAATTGTTCAACAGGTAACATGAAATGTTTTGACTTTTAGTCTTAGCTTAGTCTAGCCTGAGGGTGCATTTGGGAGAGCTTGTAGTTTCTGCTGTGAATTTAAAGGTGCTGTTAAAATAGTTACTGAGTAAAGCATTTTTAGTGAGAAACTGTTAGGTGTTTGGTAAAAACAGCTGTAAAAATTGCTGTCACCTTAAAAAGCAGATGTTGAGTGTTTAGTTAAAAATAGCTGTTGATACCAAAATTACCAAAAAGGGTATAAAAAGAAAATAAACCAAAACAGAAGCTGTGTTTGTAAAAAGTTGTGAATATTGAAACGATATAAAATAGAATAAAAAGAATTAATTGAAATAATTATTTGTACAATAACATTAACATATGGACCAAAATACTCCATTGATCCCTATACTATTTTTAAATATTAAAATTGATGTTTGTACTATTTTTTCACAATTTAGTCCCTGTTTTTTGAAAAATTTTCTAATTTAGTTGCTGATTGTTAATGCACACTAACAACTTCAGTGAATTTGCTATATGACAGTAAATTAGACACAATTATTTTTTATTGAATAAATTTCTGTCAGATTTTATGTGGCTTCTGATGTGTAAAAGTTTTTAATATTTAGTTATTTTTTTAATGTACTAGAAATCAAAGAATTGAAAATTAAAAACATAAAAACTAATAAAAAATTTTCGACAGCACTGAAGCTAACCTTAGCCCACCTCTCTCTCTCTTCCACTACCTTCCTCCCATCTCTAACCACCATTAACTCCTGTGTTGGTTTGCTAATTTCTTCTGGAGAGAGAGAGAGAGAGTGCGTGCATTGTAGAGAGAAAAAATGGAGGTACTGAGTTAGAGAGAAAGCAAGGTGGGTCAGATCATAAATAGGAAGAAGAAAGGCCAACCATCTAAGGCAGATTTGGTTTTCTAGGAGGTAATTTGTCCATCACCCAAAATGTCTCTGTAGAGAGAGTAGGCACTGATGGAAATGTTAGAGCATTAAGAGCTGAATATCCGAAAAACACAAGTAATTCATAAATAGAGAAATTTTATGTGAAAAACTGAAGAACAGATATAGACAATAGGAAATGGGAGGTCAAGGTGATGGAATATGGAGAAAAATTGACTGAAGGGATAGGTAAAATATAACAATAAGTAGAACAAACACAGAGATAAATGGGTTTGTCTATGATATTCTTCAAAGCTGTTGAATCTCATAATTATTTGTTTCTGGTTATTGAAATATCTTGGAGACTTTGGTCTCTCTCTTTTTCTTAATACATTTGGTGATTATTGGGTCACTCATTTTCATCTCTGATGAGTTTCTGTCTTCTGCTCTTCATGGCATTGGTAAGAGAAAGGAGGTTAAGTTTTTATGCATAGGGCTGTTGGTTGGAGAGAAAACCCTAGAATTTTTTAGGAATTGTGAGTCTCATTTTTCTCTTCTTTGGGATAAGGTGTTTTTTGGCTCATTTGGATAGAAAGTTATGGGATTTTTAAGAGTATTCTTTGCCTGTTTTTTCATAGAAATTACTCTTCTATGATTTTATGAGTATATTCAGTGTTTCCTTTATTTTGTTATTTTTTTAAGGAAAGAGAGCTAGTCATCTACGGTTGTATTTTTTTCTCTCTATCTAATTATACTTCTTTTTTTCATCGAAAAAATGAAAATAAATCCTAGTGAAAAGACTTCTTAAGTCATCATCATTCTTTTTTGTCCATTGTTGATAGTTATTGGTTTTTATATAGGCACAACAAATAAGAAAAATATTAAAATAATAAAAGAGAGCAAAAGTTTTAATAACTTAAAATTTAAATAGTCTAATTTATAATAAGTCAAAATCTGCTTTAATAAGCTAAATAAATTAAAGATATGAAGTAATAATAGTTACATAAGTCTTTTAATACTAAAATTATTCCAATTGAGGATCTTTTTCTATATCAATTTATGGAACTTGGGGAAAATTTGACGTCAAGTTTTGAATTGATAAAGCATAAGTAATATCAAGGAAGGAACATGTACTTCAAATGCCTATAGAACTTGTAACTTTGAAAATTTGTAATTTCTGTAAGAACTTAGTCATAGAAATTACTTTAAAAAAAAGGAACTTAGTCATAAAAATTATAGATTCTAGACAAGCACAATGTATGACAAAGTTAACAAGGACAAAGTTACTCAAAATGATCAGCATGGAGTGGAATAATTGTAATATTGTTGTTTGTCAACTTATCGACTGGGTGTGAATTTTTCATGATGCTGATCAATTATATATGCAGCTGTCATGTTAATTTTGTTTTGGTTAGACTCTCAGTCTTACCCTGTGTTTCTTTTGTATTCAGTTTGCATCAGGAAGCCTAGATGGGCCAATTAAATATTAGTACATATGGCAAGGATTTTTTTGACACTTCCTGGTGGTAGGCATGGTGCTGTGCAGCATTCAAAGATTTTGCCTGTATCTCCAAACTCTTGCAGGCAATGCTATATCTGATGTAATCTATGATATGGTTCAGCTTTGTGAGAAATGCTAATATGTCTCTGAGCCTTGTCTCTTTCTATGGAGGGAAAAAATAAAAAATAAAATAAAAATAATTATAATTTAAACTTTATGGACTGATTTCGTTTTCCCTAATCTGGGAGATCCGTTGAGGCATGATAGCATTTTTCCAATCTTACTTCTTTACTCTGGGTTTCAAGTCCAAGGTAGGTTCCATTGTTGAAGGAGCATATTGAGGAATGACCAGATCCCAAATGTAAGTTTTAGGTAAACGAACATAGTTAACTTCCTGTTTTTTTTTCAGTGTTTGTGTTGTATAGCCTCAAGTATCATTTGACTATTTGCGGTTAACACACGATGAATTCTTTTATATACACAAACTTGCTTCTGCTTGTTTATTGTTACGTTAACGTATGAGACTTGGATTTCACATCGAAAATGTGACTTCAATATTGAGTTTAAAGAAGTTTAGACTCTTCCAACTTAATTACTAGTTTTTAGGATGTGGTTTGTATCAATGGTATGGCGATGTCAAAATTGCAGGACTTTGTTATAGAGTTTATGAGTTATGGATTCTCTCACTTGCAGGGTTTTGTTTAAGGGTTTATACGAGTTTGTTAGTAGTTAACTTATGAGCTGTTTTCCTGGTTTTTAGATATACAAAATATATATTTGAATGAGATGACTTTACCGCATAGAAACCAGATTTGCACATGTTCTTTAAAGAATCAGACATAATGAAATCTAGCATATTAAATATCAATTGTAGGAGTTCATTTTGTCCATATTACAATGTCTATTATGTTTACATGCAAACATACTAATTGATAAGACTGAATTTTTAATATACAAAGTCATTGGAAGTTTTGATTGGAATTTTTAATATACAAAATCAATAGTTGATATTAATTAAAAAGTTAATACCACCTTATTAATACAGTTGTGAAACATGTAAAGTCTTTTATTATATTAATTTAATTTAATTATCATCATCATTAACAAAAATAAAGTTTATATGTGTGTGTATGTGTATTGCTCTCTCTCTATATACATACATACATATATGTACCCCGCACGCACTGACCGCATAAGTTCTCCTCCTCACCTCTCATCTTCCTCAAAGAGAAAAAGGATGAAAACTAAAATACTGGAAGAAGACGAAGAGGATAAACTAAAATTCCTTTTGGATTTTGTTGTTAGATTTTTTAGTTCAAAGAGAATTTTACATTTTACTCTTACACGTTACAACAAAATTCTTAGATTCCTCATCCTCTTTCTCCTCGCCTTTTTCGACAGTTTTCTCTTTTGCATTAAATTTTAGAAAATTTTAATTATGAATTTTATTGTTTGATTTTTCAGTGTAGACTGAAATCTACATCCCACTCTTAAATATTACAACAAAATTCTTAGACTCTTGTCATTCTCTTCGCTTTCTTCGACCTCTTTTTTTTTACAGTAAATTCTAGCAAATTTTAGTTCTGAACATTATTGTTTGATTTTTCAGTACAGACTAAACTCTATATCCTACTTCTACACATTACAACAAAATTTTTAGACACCTATTTGTTCTTCTCCTCAGCCTTCTTCAGCATCTTTCTCTTTGCAGTAAATTCTAGAAAATTTTTGTTTTGGACATTGTTGTTTGATTTTTAGTCCAGACTGAACTCTACATCCCATTCCTATACATTACAACAAAATTCTTAGACTCCTCCTTGTCCTTCTCCTTGCCTACTTCGACCTCTTTCTCTTTGCTGTAAATTCTAAAGAATTTTACACATTGTTGTTCGATTTTTTAGTTCAGACTGAATTCTACATCCCTCTCTTCCACATTACAACAAAATTCTTAAACACCTCCTTATCCTTCTCCTCGCCTTTTTCGACCTCTTTTTCTTTGTAATAAATTTTAGAGAATTTTTGTTTTGGACTTTATTGTTCAATTTTTCAGTCCAGACTGAATTGTACTTCCCACTCTTACACATTACAACAAAATTCTTAGACTCCTCCTTGTCCTTCTGTTCGCCTTCTTTGACTTATTTCTCTTTGTAGTAAATTATAGGGAGTTTTTATTTTTGACTTTGTTGTTCGATTTTTCAGTGCAGACTAAACTCTACATCCTACTACTACACATTACAACAAAATTCTTAGACTCTTCATTGTCATTCTCCTTGCCTTTTTTGATCTCTTTCTCTTTGCAGTAAATTCTAAAGAATTTTTATTTTGGACTTTGTTGTTCGATTTTTCAGTCCATATTGAAATCAACATCTTTTCCACACGTTATAACAAAATTTTTAGACTCCTCCTTGTCCTTCTCCTCACCTTCTTCGACCTCTTTATCTTTGCAGTAAATTTTAGAGAATTTTTATTTTGAACTTTATTGTTCGATTTTTCAATCCATATTGAACTGTACATCCCATTCCTACACATTATAGCTAAATTCTTAGACTCCCCTTTGTCCTTTTCCTCACCTTTTTAGGCTTCTTTCTCTTTGCAGTAAATTGCAGAGAATTTTTGTTTTGGACTTTATTGTTCGATTTTTGAGTCTAGACTGAATTCTACATCTCAGTCCTATACATTGCAACAAAATTCTTAGACTCTTCATTGTCTTTATCACCACCTTCTTCAGCTTTTTTGTCTTTGTAGTAAATTCTAAAAAATTTTTGTTTTAGACTTTGTTGTTTGATTTTTCAGTCCAGAGTAAACTCTACATCCCACTCTTACACATTACAACAAAATTCATAGACACCTCCTTATCCTTCTTCTCACCTTCTTTGACCTCTTTTTCTTTGCAGTAAATTCTAGAGAATTTTTTATTTGGACTTTGTTGTTTGATTTTTCAGTCAGAACTGAACTCTACATCCCACTCCTTTACATTACGACAAAATTCATAGACTTTTCCCTGTCCTTCTCCTCACCTTCTTCGGCCTCTTTCTCTTTCTAGTGAATTCTAGAGAATTTTTGTTTTGGACTTTATTGTTCGATTTTTTAGTTCAAACTGGACTCTACATCCCACTGCTACACATTACAACAAAATTCTTAGACTCTTCCTTGTCCTTTTCCTCACCTTCTTCGACGTATTTGTCTTTGCAGTAAATTCTAAAGAATTTTAGTTTTGGACTTTATTGTTCAATTTTTTAGTCTAGAGTAAATTCTACATCCCATTCCTACACATTACAACAAAATTCTTAGACATCTCCTTGTCCTTCTCCCTGCCTTCTTCAACCTCTTTCTCTTTATAGTAAATTCTAGAGAATTTTTGTTTTAGACTTTATTGTTCGATTTTTCAGTCCATACTGAACTCTACATCCCACTCCTACTCGTTACAAAAAAATTCTTATACTCCTCCTTGTTCTTCTCCTCGCCTTCTTCGACATCTTTCTCTTTGTAGTAAATTTTAAAAAATTTTAGTTTTGAACTTTGTTGTTCGATTTTTCAGTTCAGACTAAATTCTATATCTTATTCCTACAAATTACAACAAAATTCTTAGACTTGTCTTTGTCATTCTCTTCGCTTTCCTCGACCTCTTTCTCTTTGCAGTAAATTTTAGAAAATTTTTGTTTTGGACTTTGCTGTTTGATTTTTTAGTCTAGACTGAACTCTACATCCCACTCTTTTACATTACGACAAAATTCGTAGACTCCTCCTTGTCCTTCTCTTTTCCTTGTTCAACCTCTTTCTCTTTGCAGTGAATTCTAGAGAATTTTTATTTTGGACTTTATTATTCGATTTTTTAGTCTAGACTGAACTCTACATCCCACACCTACACATTACAATAAAATTCTTAGACGCCTCTTTGTCTTTTTGCTCGCCTTCTTCGACCTCTTTCTCTTTGCAGTAAGTTCTAGAGAATTTTTGTTTTAGAATCTGTTGTTCGATTTTTTTTTCCAGACTAAATTCTACATCCCACTCCTACACATTATAACAAAATTCTTAGACTCTTCCTTGTCCTTTTCCTTCGGTGCTTCGACCTCTTTCTTTTTGCAGTAAATTCTAGAGAATTTTTGTTTTAGACTTTATTGTTCAATTTTTCAGTTTAAACTGAACTCTATATCCCACTCCTACACATTACAACAAAATTCTTAAACTCTTCCTTGTACTTCTCCTCACCTTTTTCGGTATCTTTCTCTTTGCAATAAATTATAGAGAATTAATGTTTTGGACTTAGCTGTTCGATTTTTCATTACAGACTAAACTCTACATTCCATTAATACACATTACAACAAAATTCTTAGACTCCCCTTGTCCTCACCTTCTTTGACCTCTTTCTCTTTGCAGTAAATTCTAGAGAATTTTTGTTTTGGAGTTTATTGTTTGATTTTTCAGTTCAGATTGAACTCTACATTCCACTCCTTCACATTACAAAAAATTTTTTAGATTCCTCATTGTCCATCTGCTTACCTTTTTCGACCTTTTTTTCTTTGTAGTAAATTCTAGAGAATTTTGTTTTGGACTTTATTGTTCGATTTTTCAGTATAGACTGAACTCTACATCCCACTCTTACACATTACAACAAAATTCTTAGACTCTTCCTTGTATTTCTCATCGCCTTCTTTGGCCTCTTTCTTTTTGTAATAAATTCTAAATTCTAGAGAATTTTAGTTTTGGACTTTGTTGTTTGATTTTTTAGTTCAGACTAAATTCTACATTTTTCTCCTACACATTACATTAAAATTCTTAGATTTCTCCTTGTCCTTCTTCTCGCCTTCTTCGACCTCTTTATCTTTGCAATAAATTCTAGAGAATTTTAGTTTTGAACTTCGTTGTTCGATTTTTCAGTCCAGACTGAACTCTACATTCCACTTCTACACATTACAACAAAGTTCTTGGACTACTTATTGTTGTTCTCCTCGGCTTCTTCGACCTCTTTCTCTTTGCAGTAAATTCTAGACCGAGTTTAACATTTGGCCATATAGTTATCCCCTTAACATGTTGCATGTGGAATTAATATGCACACTCAAGTTTGCATTCTGTTTGTAATAGTGAGATACGTAGTATTAAGGGTTCTTGTTGGAATGATATATTGCACATACGATATATACGTAAAAGATGTTAGAAAAGTCACAAACTTCTCTTTGGTTTGTCGAACTGTTTAGCTACATTGTTAACTTTATCTTGAAGTTAAAGTTGGGATATTGATAAAAAGTCAGAATATTAATTTTATTAAGATAATGATTTAACTGCTTAGTAGTAAGTTAAATTAAATTATTTTAAGAAATTAAAATCTCTTAAAACTTTATTGATTAAAATAATTTTTAAATTTAAAATGTGTGACTCATTAAGATTTACTGTCTATCATATGATTTGACTTTAATTATCTTTTTAATAATTATACCAATAATTTTTATTTATTAAATTAATTTGCATGTCACGATTAATATTTAACAATATCTCATGATCTCTATAAAATATTGAAATGATGATAGAACTTGTATATAATAGTTTAATATGTAGATACGACTTTTTAATTTACTACGTTCTAGAATGATCAATGGGTATGAGTAATATTAAATCTTAATTGTCACTCTATATCTATATGATATGTATTATTTACATCAATCATGTTTTAAGTAAACTCTTTCTTCGTTATACTTTGACTAAAAATTTTAGAATTACCTAAAAAAATATTATCATAGGGTAATATATATATATATATATATATATATGTATTATTGAGAGTGATTTTATTCTTAACTAACCATTACATTACTTTAAACTTATACTTTATGACTAATCTGACCGAGGTCTATAGAAGTAACCTTGATCTTTTAATATCAAAATACAATTCTTTCTATAGAGAATAACTCTTACAAAATTGTTATTATTTAGATTCTTACTTTGACACACTTCATAATTCTTGAGTTAGTCCACTGAATTTATTCTAATAACAAATACTTTATAGTAAAATGATATTTGTGTATTAATCTATCCCAACTTCAATAATAATGTATGTCACGTTAATTATATGACTAGAAATTTCATAAATTACATTTATAAAACAAAAGTATAGCCTTCATGATCTTATCATGGTCACATTTTCATTGCTTAGATATTAAACATTTATTAATTTAATGAATTTAAGCACTCACTTAAAAACATTATTATTAGAATAAAAAGATATAATTATTATAATAGTGTCCTTCATATATTGCATGTAGTGAACTTATTAACACGATAGAGTTTATTCATACATTACTACAGTAAGAAGTCTGAGCTTCTCTGAAATTGATGGCTCTTCTTCTAAATACCAAATCGAGGCCTCTGCAAATGATTGTTCCCTATTTTTTCTTCCTAAATCGGTATGAGCAACATAACGAGGACCCAAACAAATGGAGAGAAACCGAACTGGTTTGGAGAACAAAGAGAAGCATATTTTTTCGAAGCATTTCCTCTTATTTTGTTAGAACTGAAGATCACTGATTTCAATCTTTGAGTGTATTTTGTTAACAGGGCACTACATCCATGATGGTGTTGATTTAGCACCTAGTTTGACCTTTTGATACCAAAATTTGAATGAAAGCAGTCATGACGCATATTTCTATTTATATATTGAATAGCTTAAAAGCAAAACCTCCTGCACTTGCACAATCCAAAATAGCTTCTAAAACACAGAAATATGATGTACAACAGAATAGTTAGCTACTAAAAGCACACAACTCTTGCACTACCAGAATTCAAAATGGCTACGACAATTCAGCATTGTGCCTAAGCCGCAATGTTTTCAAGTGAGCTAGTGTCAATTTTAGTCATCAACAACATGTATGGCTACAAAATCAGAGAAAGGGAATGTACAAAACCTGATGCCATTACACTTTTGTACGAAGAATGTAACTTCTGGCTCGACTTGAACAAAAGAGTGCTACCACTCCAAAGTAGAAGCTAAGAAATGCACTTAAGCAAAACACCCATTCAGAAATTGGTCCTTCCTCCATTTCTCCTTTCAATGTCTTGCCACGGACTTTGGGAAGACTTCCCTTTTCACACCCTTCACCAGAGGATTCAACACATAAATCTGGATTGCCTGCAAAGGCTCCAGGAAACCTCCGGTACCCCTGCTTTCCAGGAACAAGTCCAGAGAAACAGTTGTATGACAAATTCAAAAGTGTCAACTCTTGGAGACTAGATATGTTTCCTGGGACTTGACCTGACAATGAATTATGCGACAGATCCAACACTCTCAAACTTGACATCTTCTCTACACTTGGAACCTGACCATCAAGAAAATTATATGATAAATTCAGGTACTCTAGAAACTGTAGTCTGAAGAGACCCTCTGGAATTTCCCCATGCAACAGATTATCAGATAAATCAATTCCAACCACTGGCGATAGTTTGTAAGTGAAGCTTAATTCATTGCTATTGAGGACAAGAGCGGAAATTCTTATGTCGACTTTTCTCATTGTAATGAAAGGATCTGTGGACATAGTTCGAAGAATGTTCCCATTATTGAAATTCAAACTACCATTGAAGTTACCATCTGGTATGAGGCCAGTGAGCTTGTTGCTGGAGAAATCAATCATTTGGATATCTTCAAACAAGAACAACCAACTAGGTAGATTTCCACTGAATTTGTTCCTAGCTAGAGAAAGATACTTGAGGTTCGACCATTTTGTTATTGCATCATTCAAAGTTCCTGAGAGATTGTTGGAACTGAAATCTACAACCTCAAGTGATTTCAACCCTGCTAATGTTAGCGGGATCTCACCAGAAATCCTGTTGTTGCTTATATCCAATATCTTCAGGCCATCCAACGCATCAAGCTCAGGTTGGATTTCACCAGAAAGGTTGTTGTTATTGAGTATCAATGCAAGTAGTTGGAAGCATCCAACAATATTTAAAGGAATTGGACCAGACAAAGAGTTGTGTGAAAGATCAATCACTTGGAGATATGTTAAGTTACCAATCCTTGGTGGGATTTCTCCAGTAAGAAGATTGTGAGAAAGAAACAATGCTTGCAAAGTTTTGAGCTCAGTAATCTTCAACGGGATATCACCAGAGAAGCGATTGTGAGAAAGGTCAAGAAGTACAAGCCCTGATTTATCAGTTGTCTTGGCAATTTTGGCAGGAATATCACCTGATAAATCATTAGAACTCAAGTCCAACAGGAGTAGTTTCTCTGAAAACACAAGCCTAGGAGATATCCCATATTTCAAGTTGTTGAAGGACAGGTTTAGATGTGCCAAAACTTGTAGTGAAGAAATACAAGAAGGTATTCCGCCCATAATAGAATTTTTAGCCAAATTCAAAACATTAAGAGACTGTGCAGAAGCAGAAAAACAAGGCAAAGTACCCGAGAACCGATTCGAAGCAAGATTGAGGTACACCAAAGACTGATAAAAATCATGAAGATTACCAGACAAGCAATTGCTCTCAAGATTCAAGTACCTCAAAGACTTCAAGTACAACAAGCTTTCGGGTATTTCTCCCCTAAATGAATTAAAACCAAGATCAAGTCTCTCCAAATTCATTGAGAAATTACCAAGCCACAGAGGAAGAGAGCCACCCAAATCCGGGTTCCCCCTCAACACAAGTCGTTTCAATTGCTTAAGCCTCATAACTGTATCAGGAATAACACCACCTAGCCTATTATGGCTGAGATCAAGAGTCTTGAGGCTGCGGAGCGCTCCAAAACAAAATGGGATTGTACCGCTAAAATTATTTCGTGCCAAAATGAGGTACTCAAGAAATAATAGTTTGCATAAACTGGGGTGAAGTTCACCTGACAAATTCAGGCTGGTCAAGTTGATGGAAACCACCCGGCCGGTCCGGTTCTCGCAGGCAAGTCCGGTCCAGTTGGTGCAGCTTGAGCCAACCCAGGTTGATAAACTCTTGTTTGGGTCGTGAACCGATAGCTTAAATGTCGACAAGGAGTCTCTGTCGTCGGGATCCAGATCAAAAGATTGAGATGGATAGGAAAACAGGCACATCAAAAATAGAAACAGCAGGTGTAGTATCGAGATTTTGGAGGCCTCCATTTCTGGAGTAGGCCACCTCAACTGAAGCGCAGAACTATCTCCGTTCAACCAATCTGATACAGAGGTTGATGAAGATTGGACAGAAGAACGATGTATACAAGCGACAGCAAAATAGCAACTCACTCTTCTTCTTCTTCTACTTCTACTTCTTCTACTTCTACTTCTTCTTCGATGGGAGCATTGTATGAGGAAGTGCAAGGAGTGAATGAAAACCGAAGATACTCCCTGAGCTAGAGAGGGAGAGGGAGAGGGAGAGAGAGAGAGTCAGTAAAAATGGAGGAAGAATCGTGGAGGAAGTAGATTGAAGGTAAGGTAAGAAGTTCACTGATTGCTGCTGCTCCAGGCTTGAGCTACTGAAGTTTGGGTTGAAGTGAAAAAAGCACTTCTTTTGATGAAAAAGTGAAAAAGCACTTATTCCTTTATTCTTTTATATTCTAGGTACTGCCACTTTATTTTACACAACATTACATACATCAATTTTGTTTTGACTTACCAAAACCCCCAAAAAAACAAAAAGATATAAAACCAACACACAATGATGAAACTCAAACTTAATTCGACCGTGAAATCTTTAAGACATTCTAAATATCTTTAACTTGTGCAAGTTTTTGAAGTTAAATCGCCGACCTGCGTTATATAATATATGCATGATATTACATTGGATCCATTCTGGTACGACGAATAAAAATTCCATCTGACTTGGACTGACTCAGTTCCGGTTTAAAATTTATAATAGACTTAATTTTTTTTAAAAAAAAATAATTTAAATAATATTTATACATGCTTACAGCCATAAGATTCTTGGAATCATACGGCTTTATAATCAACTAAACATTCATTACAGAAACAGAGGACCGAGTTATACAAGTTGAAAATTTATAAACCAAATCATATATATATATATATATATATATATAATCTACCCACATCTTTCTAATCTCCTGCAAAATGTCTTCAACACTCATTACAATATTTTACACAGTGAAGGAAACAAGAACCCCTGCACAATTGTTATTCCAGTTTCTTATCCAAAGCTCCTTTCCTCAAAGGCTCAAGATGGCGCGTGTCCCTTTTCGAGGAGGAAGATAACAGCATCCCATAAATTGCAAATGGACGCCACAAGAAACTCAATTCACAAATTCACAAATTACCAGTAAAATCAAAATCACAAGAGGAAAACAATAACTCAATTTGATATTTCAGCCCCAAACCCTTCACAAGATCGATTTGATGGAATAAAAGTAGAAGGTTGTTTAGTAACGGCAACCAATATGTCTGCATATCCGACAACTCCAACCAAAACATCATCGCTGTCATCTTCAGTCACCCATACATGTGTTGCCCTGTGTGATAGCATTTGAGCCATTACAGCTGCTAATGAACTCGTAATTTTACAAGTTAATGGTGTGCTTCTGCCCCTATACATGTTCCTGCCAATGCTGAAAGTCGGGCTCGCTGGATTGAACCCAATGCTTCTACTGCTGAACTTCCTTGGTCTTAGCGAACCCATTCCATTCGTATCACTTTGTCCAACTGGTGAATTAACCGAAAAATCAGCAAGTGCTCTTGAGGCCATATTATCTTCAACTCCCATGACAAACTGCCCTGCTGAAAGATTTGCTAAAGCCCAAGCTGCAGCTAAATAATCACATTTCCATAGTTTAGATGCTGAAATTTCTCCAATAATTTTATACTGATCATCCGGAGTGTGTTCCACAACAGCAATTGCACTGGGATCCCCAGGTGGCTTGCAGGTAGCTTCAATGGCAGGAAGTGAAGCTTCAACGAAGTTGTAGTTTGGGTTCACAGCTCCAAGAGATGAAATAGAAGATAGAGGTAGTGGAGCAAGGGCACCGAGGCAACCAATAAGGAAACGGATGACATCTTCTCTTGAGAGACAGCAAAACTTATCACGACAAGAAGCAGCAGAAGACGAAGGTCGGTTGGCATTGATGGGGAGATTATTGCTACTGCTATTAGGAGTATTAATGTTTTTCAGCCATTTCCCATTGTAAAGAATTGAGAATCTCTTGCTCATGCCTTTCCAAATAACACTCTTAGGAACTAGGAGTCGCCTCACACCTTGCTTCATCATCTCCAGTGCATCAATCAATCTTGCACATAAAAAACCAAAAGATGAAGGATGAAATGAGTGGGGAATAACATATAATTGCATGCCTAAAGGATAAAAAATCTAAATAAATGAGGATGCTAGGTCTATTCAAACTGAAACATGTTTCAACTGCTTCTAGACCATAAAATACGTGCACCAAAATATTTTACATAATTAAATTTACTTCTCTCATTCTTTATCTGATCACAACAGGTCAGAGGGTAAAACAAAAATAAACCAGTGTGGAACCTCCCAACTGTCGCAGATATACACAGACAAAAGTTATTGTTCCCATCAAATTGCTTGGGGATTAAACTTTAAAGTTAAGCCTTAGAATCAATGATCAATATTTTCCAATTTGAGAGGGGCAATGGCATGGCAAATGATACTTGTGACTCCTAGCAAAATATTTAGAGATTCTGGAGTTCTTACATAATGTTTTTGAATCAATAAACTGGATAGTATTTAGAGATTGATAGCTATATTACCAACTATACTACAATATGAGTTATATCTATCTTAATACTACGTCAAATGACACTATAACAACTTTAAACTCAGCCAAGATTTATTCTCTCTCCAAAGATAGATTGAATTAGAAACCAGAGCCAATTCATGTTTAAAGAACACAACCGCACACACACAAGCACAACAGGTTAGAGATTTCAAATATGCAATTCTCTATCAAAGAAAGAAATATAATTCAATTAATAAACTAGATTTCAAACATAAAATCCTAGAGAAAAACTACCATCCTCAAAAATAAATTTCTAGAGAAATCGATGCAACAATGCCAAATAATAGACAAGAACCAACAGAGAGCCCCAGCTAACATCAAAGTCAATTAGAAACAACTACTGCAACATAGAATATATTTCCCCTATAATTATTTCTTATTACAAGCCTTTCTTATATTTAAGTTTCTTATTCAAAATTTTCCTTTTCTTTTGACTGGGACTAGGAGTGTGCACAGTCTGATCCGGACCGGAACCAATTGTTCAATCTAGACAGGAGTGGACCGAATTAACTACTGTTACGTCCTCAGTCTTAAAATTTGGTCCATACCAGTTTGGGTCTAGTCTAGTTCAAGTCTTGACGGAGTTAAGAAAAAATTAAAAAAA